GACATATATATATATATATATATACACACACACACACACAGAGGAAAATCTAATCTTTATAATGCTTTTCAATTTGTATGTCAGTAGGTAACATACTCACAAAAATTTTCTTTTTTGACATTTTAAAAATAAAAAAGGACAGCAAAAAAACATGTCACGTGTGTGTATCGTTACATGAAAATCCTTTCCAATGTTTTTGGCATGTATCCCTCTTCATGTATTGAAAGCCAACAATAAGCACAGAGCCATCATTTATTCTGTAAATGCAAATTGTTCCCAGACTTTAGATCAGTTATTTCTAAGTAATTGGTGATTTGTTTGTGTTCATCTGTGTGATTTGTCAGTGATTCTTAAACACTTTCCTGAACAACTTTTTGTCTGGGTTTGTTTATTATACTAGAATTCTCTAATTAATCATAATTTGATAATTTAATTGCCCATATAAAATGGTAATCAGCTTGATGGTCAAATGCAAAATATAATCAACTGCAATATCACATGATCAGTAAAGTTTGCATGTGTAAACAAATTGGGTGTTTAAGAAACGTGTAGAGTGATCTTAGTAAGTAGCCACTCACTGCTTACAGTCGACACTAATGATGAAACCCATTTAATACATCAAAGGTAAGATTTATTTAACTTCAAAATAAACCAGAACAGAATGAAATATTCAGACCAAAAATGATCCAGTATATCACAAATTAATGATATATATAAATGTACATTTATACATACACACAAAGTACAATTTTAGAGAGGAACTAGACCACCAGTGACCCGTTGGGTCACCCACTATTCAGAGGTTATGAAGAATTCAAGCTAATTTCTATACTGCACCGAAATGAAGGTTTATTTTGAGATAATTTAATTAAATATTTCAATCCTTTTGTGTTATTCATAATTCAAGAAAAGATATTAGATTGTTGATAGGGAGTAAAAGAAAAGACCATTTCATTTTTCAAAAAAGTTAAGTCAAAGTTTTCAGGTATTGTGATGAACAAACCTTACTCACAGTTGATTCAAAACGCCTGTAAATAAGAAATAACAGATAATAGTAATGTTATTAATGGTTTATTAGAACGTAATTGCTATCAAAAATCCCAAAAAAGCTATTTCAGAAAAACATTTCATACCTACTTGCTCAAATTACAGCAAGAAACAGCAAAACTTGATAATTGATACACTACAAAATTCACAGCAAATGATTTTTCGACTGAGAAAATTTTCTCATTTCCTTACCTACCATAACCAAGGCACATTATTGAGAAATTCTTCAAGATCTTGTTTTTGTCACCTTATGCCTTTTAATGAAGATGGGAACATTGACATGGAAATATATTTGAACAAAAAAAGTTTCGTAAAGAGTGCGAACAATAGTGTGATGTAAAATTACTCATGCTATAAATGTTCATAAAATGACCCCAAAAAATAGCGCTAACTCGGTAACCCGTAGCCAGATTTTAACGAAACTTGTTTTATTCTGTTTCTATTTTCATTTCAGTGGTATGTCTTCTTACAAATATGGCACTATTGTGTGTCGTTTTTGCTGTATTTAATTACAGACAAGCAAACAATTTCAGAGTTTTAGTAGTATATATACAAGATAGATAGATGTATGCAATACTTTCATATTTCAGCACAACACCTACATGCTACATTCAATGGAATGTTTGTTTCTAATTAATGCTTCACAAAGCAAAAAACCTTTTGAAAATTACATTACAGTGTCAAATCAATTTTCAATGATCAACGCAGTTGGCAAAAGTATTTTAATTTAACTATGGTTTACATATCACACACTGTACGTTACATTAGCTTGTATGTTGTTTAATAATAAATATCTTAAAGTTGTTGCGCTTACGTTGCCATCTTTTGATGAAATAGGAAAATAGATTTGAACGAAGAAGTTTTGTAAACGGGGCGAATGGTAGCGTGATATAAAATTACTCATACTAGAAATTTTCATAAAAGTGACTCGAAAAACGGCGTTAACTCGGTAACCTGTGGCCCGATTTTAACTAAACTTGTTTTATTCTGTTTCTATTCTCATATTGTACACCATTTTTGCTGTATTTAATTACAGACAAGCAAACAAACAAACAATCTCAGAGTTTTTGTAGTATATAGATAACTGGAATAGTAGTATTCCAAGGAGTTTTTGGGATATCTCACATCAACAGTAATCCACCAAACAGCAGATTAAAAACCATGCATACAAAAACAGAGAATCAATTAAAGGTTGGCACTCAAGTCCACAATATATACACACAACTACACATTCACTGTACATGGCCAATTGTGTACTTGTTAGTTTTCCCTTAAAAACATTTGATCCTCTCTTCTTTATGTATTTTTGTACTTTGTTAAAAATTTACCTTTTTTTTCTTTTCTCTTGGTTTGTGGTGCTGATAATATCCCCCCCTTATAAATGTTGTAGATCTGATAGATGTGACAGTTATACATATATAGTAACCACTAGTGGCAAAAAAAACCACCCAATAAATCACAAAATAACTTATGAACAAAAAACACAAAGAACAGGTAAATAGTCTATAACTAACATAAATCATTAAAACACATCCAATATACCAAAATACACAGAGTTTAATATTTCTACTAAATTCATGAAATAATAACACTTTATAGTATTCCACATATATTGTATCCTAATGGTATGATTCTGTAAATAATAACACATTATAGTATTCCACATATATTGTATCCTAATGGTATGATTCTGTAAATAATACCTTATAGTATTCCACATATATTGTATCCTAATGGTACAATTCTGAAAATAATAACACTTTATAGTATTTTACATATATTGTATCCTAATGGTATGATTCTGTAATCATTCTTTATGCAACTACCTTCTCACTTGAAAGAGTGCATTAGCTTACAATAGTTTAAATGAAGCAAGTTTACTTACGCAAGTCCCTTCCATCGTTTACTGACTTGAGCACATCTAGCCAGTGCATACTTTGGAAGCCACTTGAAAATCTGCAGAATGATTTCATCCGATATTTGTGAAAAATGATCTGTGGTGAGATAAATAGTAAAACTTTTATGAAAGAAATACACTGGTATAACAATTGCTTTTATATTTAAGAAAATTTATAATTGTACTACAGCCTGTTCAGTAACCAAAAAAAACTAAAACAAACAAATATTAGAAATTTAAAAGAAAAAAGATTTATGGATAATACCAATGTTGGTTTCATAAAGATGACACTCAGCAAAATATAGAGTTAAGGAGTTATTAATTTATTAAGGTACATAAAAACTAATTCCTACACATACCAACTAAGCTGGATACATTTATCTAGCAAAAACATAAACTATGTTACAGTAAACACTTATCAGTGAATACAAATTGGTGATGGTGAATGATAGGTCATTGTTCCTCCTAATAAGTAACAGTAATATTCTTCTTTTATAGAAAATAACATTTTTCAGTATTTTGTTATGTTTGTAACATTATGTTTACTCCTGAGAAATTTCAATGCCTTAACTGATCCTGAGAGGCTATGTTCAATTTCAGTCCTTTAGGACATTACCCTCAAATCATTTCCTCACAATCTTTTCCATTCCAGTTCTAAAAAATGTCATTACCAGTTTTCTCAAAGCAGCACTCTATATTATGATTTACACTTTTCTTTTGCTTTACAAACCAATAATATTTAATAAGTCATTACTCTAATCTTCACATAAACGGACTCACATTCTGAGAAAATATATACTGTTACGACAGCGGAGGTCAAGTGACGCTAGTAACACTTCATTAACTTCTATAAAAATTATGTCCCTTCGTGAAGCCTTGAGCATTTACTAGATTTTTGGTATTCTTGTATATAAGACTGCCAAGAAGTGACAGCAACAATGTAATTGAATTGCAGACAGATATAGAGACGACAATTGAGTCAAGAGCGTGAATCGTTCGTTCATTGTGAATTATAGCGTTTGTTTAAGGTATATCATGACTGTGGAAATCAAGTGTATTGCAAAGTTGTATTGAGAAAGAATAAACTAGTTTTATTTAAGAAAGGACTTATATCGCTAAAGTTTCTTCGGAAAGAATTTTTACGGAAAATTAACTAATGACCAGAGGTGTAACAATACCTTTCCCCAAGGAGCCTTCTTGTCTACTACGACGAAACAAAACAAAGTCATCTGCAACTCTACTAAATGGTGAACTTAAGGAAGTGTTAACTTGTTGGTTATTGATTGAGGAATGAGCTACTGGAGCACGTGGGGCCTATATAATAATAAACAATAAACTTTTATTCATCAAATAAAATAATATTCATATGTATTTAAATCAGAGGACTTTCTTTAAAAGTATTATACAAATATGCCAGGATAATTAATCTGTAAAAACTTAAGTTCTAAGGTTAAATAACCCATAAATTGTAGAAGATATTACTCTTTTTCAATTACTAAAATATGTTAAAAGCAACTAATTAACTGTAAACCATCACTACTTATGCAATTTCAGTTTTGTACAAATGGCAGGTAGTAACAAGTAATTAGAGCAAATGTTAATAATACTTCTACAAATGTTAATACTTCTAAAACATGTTAATCATCAAACATGCACAATACAATATGCACTTGCAACCCAGTTGAGACCATAAAATGAGAAACTTAAATACATTACCCTATTCTATTGGTATAAAAACATTTCAAAACATGTGTAAATATAGAAATACTAATTGAGTGCTACATAAATATCTTGAGGTATCTAATTAAGACTTAACTGTTTCCCAATTACTTTGGCAAAAATAAAAAGTTAATTTTCTTGTTCCAAATATGTGTGCACAGCTGTTCCTAATTTTGAACTAATAGACCAGAAGGCTGGTGGTTAGTCAACAGCATCCATTTCAAACTCTTGGGCTACTCTCATCTGACCAAATGATCTAGTGGTAATGGTGTCAGACTGTGAATCAGGGATCCTTGTCCTGTTGTCAAGGGTTTGTGCTCAGCACTTATGGCTATGTTTGATTATAAATAAAAAACAAAAAAGTATATTACTACAATAAATTTTTCTGTGTAATACAACAAGGTTTTACAGGATATAGCACCATCTATTGTTTTTGTATTATTCTCTAAACAAAAATAATTTTAAACTTTCACAAAAAGATATATAACAATGACTTTAGAAACATCAGAAAAAAATGAGATAAAAATATCAGCAAATACAATGTACTGGGGTTGGGGAGGGAGGAATCTTTATTTATAAAGGTTTCATTGTTACTCTATTCAATTCTTGTATGCTACCAGTTGAATCATTTTGCCATGTGTTTAGAGGAGTTAAGGCAGAGTTGATTGAAATGGATTTAAAGTTGTTATGGACCACAATAGATTGAGAGTGTAGGGGTGGATGATGAGGGCCTCAGTACAGAGACCAAAATTTCATCAATTTCTACATTCTAAATGATTAAAATTAGTAAAATCAATCAATATTTCTTTTACCCTTAAAAAGATTAGGAATAACAGTTTCTTACTTTTTAACTTGTGAAAAAAAAATTTTCTTTCTTGTTGTAAATGTGATGTATTTTGTCTTGCTTCTATTGTGTTTCTTCCAATGATTTAAAGTATTTGATAATGTTCTTGTTGAAACAGGCTTCACAAGTTAGTGTCAGCATAATTGAACAAACCTGAATTAAATCACTATAAAACTTTCATATTCTGTAATAATAAGCAAGTATAAAGTGTTTGCACGTTGAAAAAGAAATGCAAATAATTGTTAATTTGTTCCCAAACACTTCATTGACTTTTACAACAATAACCTATTTTGAAAACATAACTGAGAAAGAGCACAGGAATTAAAAGCACCATTTTAACTATCCCACTTAATCAATCAATCCAGTTTCACCCTCAATTAGGTAAATAAGTGGCAAACTAAATACAACAAATAACAGAATACATGTTGCAGTTATAGGTTTCTGTCACATGAACAAGACATGCACTACATTTTGGAATACAAAAACAGCAGCTTGCAAGTAGAATGGATGTATTGTTCATACATCAATAACAAATATTTTCAAATTACAAAATAAAGATAACAACCACTATAATATGTTCAGAATATTTTACAGGAGATCTGCTGTTTGGTATTCTAATAATCCACATCATCAAAAATATTGATTTCCTTAACAGGTTTGCTTTAAAAACTTGTATCGTTAGGATTACCCATGTAAAATGATTTTAGGATACATGATTTGTTGAAACCTTGGAAAACTACCCGAGGGCTATCTGCACTAGCTATTCCTAATTTTAAAGTGATAGCCCAGAAAGAAGTGAAGCATTTTACATGAATTACAAATGTTTAGGTGGATGGAAAAATACAATTTTCGTGAATATTCGTGTATGACACACATGCATGTCAAGCGAAGAAAGGACATACACACCAGCAAACGTATAATGCAACCTAGATCGAGACAATTCACCAAATAAGGAAATGAAAACGTCAAAGTAAATACTGAGATGCATTCCAAGCTACAATATGTGAAGTAGAAACCAGCATTTGTCTTAGTTACACTAAGCAGATGTGATCATAGCGGAAAGAAAGGCTACAGAAAGTTTTATTATCAACACTAACTACAAGAAGTGAGTTCTATAAAAAAACTAACTAGTGGAACTTTGATCAGAAGAAAAGAGGAGATGTACATGCAAATATGGCACTGTTTAACAGCTTTTGACTATAACCAATTATCATTTTAGTTCTCGTTTTAGAATGATAAACATTAGAATTAAACCAATTAAATAGAGGATGTACTTGCAGAGTAAGCATGTAGTGCTAGTCAAATCATTGTATGGACAAACAAATTTTAATAAAAAGTAATGTTGTTAGACCAAAAATAAGTTCTCTGAGGACAACCTAGATGGCACTGGAATCCACACAACTTACCAGAAGAATGGCTGTAACACAATCTATTGAGAATTTAAAACTTGCAACTTCTACATAATAATTGCTAACATCTCTAGTCTAACAGTGTAATTAGGAAATAATGTGTAATGTGTAATAAGATTATGTTAAAAGAGAACTTATTAATAGATTTAATAACATTTACTGAAGAAGGAATAGCTTTGTTGAGATATTCTAGAAGTGTTAACCAGAATACATAAACTAAACTATGTCTGGACATTTGTCTTGTAATGCTCTGAGTGATAATTTGTTTACTTTAGTATCAGATCTAATGCATATTATTGAAGGTTAAATCAACAAACAGTTGCTCCCTCAGAAAGAAGAGTTTAATGCCGTGATGTAGAAATCTTTCAAGACAGTTTTAGTGCTGTAGACTTGAATGAATATTTGAATTAAAGTATTGTATGATATACTGTATCTCAGTCTCTGAGTCAATTCTTTATTCTACCTGTAAACTTCCTCAAGTTGGTGACCTGTGTGCTACCCTCACAACTGCATAACTTAGATTTTTATAAATTCATTTGTAACTAGTGTTAAAGTCAAACCTCAAATGACTAGCCTACATGGCCTCCCATTACAGAAGTCAGCTAGTGAATATCACACATGGCTGACTCTTGGCTACTCGTTACTAACAAATAGTGGGGTTAGTCATTGCATTCTAATTATAAAAAATAGGGAAACAGTCATAATTTATTTTCTAGGTGTTAAAAATATATATTTATGCAAATATTCACATACCACTTACAACCAGATTAAACATATGTGAAGATACCAGTTGTGGCCTCTTTCTGTTAATATAAAATATTGCCAGAACTTGGCAATGATCAATTATAAATCGTGTTAACCTGCAACTGCAAATACAGTTAATGTTTTAACCCTAAAACTGTGAGTCACTCTTACAGAAATCATCATGTTTTGGTGGCAAATTTGAGCATGAGAAACTCCATTAGATCAATTTCTCATATAAAGCTTTGCATGAATTTAGGGTTCAATATTTTGCTTTGAAAAATGCAATGGAACTCCTAAAATATTGTTTTGGTACTGATGAAGTCTTCTAAAAGCAAGACTCTTTTTGCTCTAGGCCATTACACTGTGACCTTGATTTGCACTATACAAAAAGTTTACAACACATTCATGACATCTAAAACACTGGATATTTAGTAGGAAAAATAGTAAACTTTCTTTCTTCAACTATTTTCCATGGCTTTCATTAGTTGAAAATCTGCTCAATCATATCTAAGTCTGCCAATCACTAAGCAATCTAAGAAATAAAGTAATTATAATGAGAAGCACAAAGTATTTTATTCATACTGTTCCTTCTCCTTCACTGTTTTCTTTCAATTGGATTCTAATGTTTCATGGCCAACTGCTCTTTCTGATCAATTTAAATTCAACAGGAACCCCCATCATGATTACATCCACAATGTTTATTTACATTTAATGCAAAAATCACACATTTCAACCTTACACTTGGAACTGAGACTAAAATAAGCATACGTTTCAGACATTCTCCCGGTGCACGTTGACTAGTTTAAAAAAAACACATCTTATATATACAAATTCCTTTGCAAAAGGCAATGGACTTTAATCAAAATCTAAATATAAATGGGGAAAAAATCAATTTCAAATAAAAATTTCTGCACAAGAATTTAACTGTTGGGCAGAAAATTTATATTATTACAAAGCTCAATACTAAATCATGGGTTTCCCATAACTTTTTTTCCAGTGGGTGAATGGGGGATTTGTTTCTTATCAATAACACTTGCAAGCCTATGTTAGCATTAGTCAGTAGCAGTCTGTGGGTGGGAGGTTTGTTTCTTATCAATGACACTTGCATATGTAAGCCATACATTAGCAAACGAAAGAGGCTATGAATATAAACTTTTAGTATCACAATCAGGAGTTTTTTTCAGCACCAGGTTTAATTTTACATGGCAATCAAAATGCTATGCTCATGTAAATTATCACTGATAGCAACGTTAAAGGTTTTTATCATTTGCCTGATATTATGATGACCAAAACAGCCACTAATTTGTGTACAATCAACTCTGTGATTTGATACAATATAGTTTCTTCCTCTGCACTTCACAACAACCCTTCAAGCAAGGTTAATTATCCAACCACTTTAAAAGGTACTGTACTGTCTGAACAATATTCAGAAGGCACAACACAATATGATTGCAGACCTAATAGATAAAACAAACACCATTTACAGCATCACATGTGAATGTAGATTTCAGTTCATTGGAGAAACAATAAGATCAGCAAAAATTATAATTCAGAAACATAACAGACACACTAGACTCTGTAACCCTGATCTATCTGCAAAAGCCATCATGCCAGAGAAGCAGACTACATAATAAATTTGAAATAATAGTAAAATAATAGGATATGAACCACACAAGAAAAAGAAAGAAACCACCTACATCTATCTAACTGATATAACAATCAGTGTACCTAGCACAGAAGCCATCAAAACTTGGATAACCAATACAGAAATAGTCATTCTTATGACTTTCCTGAAAACAGCAGCAAATTAGCTGCCAAAATGCAAATAACAACTAACTATACTATCCTGATGGAGTCATAAACCAAAATGTTTCTTCTTCTAGATGTAAGTAATTATTACTTTACAATTTATAAAAATATTGAAACTGCCCTAATCAAAGAAATTCCAGGCATTACCACTACTCTGTTAGTTATAACTTATAAATTTAAGTACTGTTACTAACTTACTATTTATTTAAAAGTTATTTAAAGTTTCCATAGATAGATATATGAATGTTAAGGACTACATTTGGTTTGGTTGCTTTGATGGGTGGTGGTACAATATAGGAATATATCATAAATTTATTCTTTTCTTCAGTATTAATGATTTTTAATTCTGAATTCATTCTTTGTTCCAAATATGTGCAGGTTTCACACAACATGTAGTCAAGAAAACTATTAAGATTACCTTTATTTCCTTCATTCTCAAAGTTAGATTTATCTTGTTACTGTCTGTGGAGAACATTGCAACATACAATCTTGTTTCAAGATGTTAAGAGCAATGTCCTTCACTGATTGTACAGGTAATTTCTAGAGAACATGTCCCCATAAATGTGGAATGGGAATGATGAGCTAATTGCTAGCACAGTTGTGTTAGATAAACACAAGGTTTCTTTTAGATAGTTAGGCTGATTCTTAGCCTCATCCAAGCTTGACCTGATCTTGAGTGAAGAAGCGACAGTCCATCATAAAAATGTAGGTACACTGTTTTTAAGTTCTAATAAAGATTGTGTTCATTGTTTACTACTTTGTGGGTCCAATCCATTCATTCTTTAGCTTAAACTCAACCAGTATAAATTCAGTACTGTTTTGTAGTATCATATGTTGTTTGAATCTCCCATTAAGCAGACCTATCAAAAAATCTCAAATTTCTCATCAGGATTCACCAAAGTGGTAAAGGGCTAAAACTAAATGGCCATAAAACTTTGTTCATCATTATGATATTGAATTACACTGTCAAAGCATGATGATAAAATGGCTCTTTATTGCGAAAAAACAACACTGAAGCGAAGAGCTTGAATAACTTCAAACAATACCCTCTTTTTTTTTCAAATAACTTGCCAATTTTGTTTTGAATTTTATGATAAGTTTTGCTAATGTTTTGAAAATGTACTGTTCTTCGCTGCAGTTAAAATTTCTAAAATGTCATTAGCTTTCTGCAACTTTTATACTAACTTGAGTTATCCTTACATATATTTTTAAAATATACTCCAAATGTCTTAAATATAGGTCACTGTTTCTAGTTTAATTTCTTTCAAATATTCATTCTTTAAATCTAACATTAAACACAGTTGACTGTTTAACAATGTATGACAACTGTGTCTTTTTTTTAAATTTGGTTACAAACTTTTTCAAGGTTGTTATAAATGTAATCATAAAAGAAGCACTTTTGACAGTTACCAATTCCGTTTGGATCTACAGGCTGTTTTTGTTTTGTAAAAAATAACGTATGTTTACTGTAGTGTTTATTTGATGTATTCATCTTGAATTAGTTTTATATCTGTGCAAGTTTGTTTACATAGACAAGCTTATTAAGAGTTATATCTTTTCACATACATAACCTGATGTTGTAAGTAATTGTAGTTTCAATTTCTTAAACCTTTCTCAGAAACTTGTATTATTTCAACAATGCATCAATATGGTTAGTGGTTTGAAATTATAGATGGCACCATGTTTTTTGAACTGCTCACTGACAAAAATGCTGCAACAGGACTCCATAGTTGGATGGAAAAAATCCTGTACTAAAAACTCCTCTAGCATGGAACCATAACCAAAAATTAATTTAGTTTTATGAAGTTCAGTGGTGTATCTGAGATGTAATTTTTACGTATGACATTAATTACTGGATGATGATGATGACAATGATGAAAAAGCAAGCAACTGGAGGGAATGTCACAACTGCCATTATACAAGTAATATGTATATTAAACAAAAATACTTATATTTACTATATCTGATAAACACATGAAAATAACAATGGTGGATGATAACAAGGACTAACATTTTAACTGCTTTACAGAAATTTAATAGGAAAGTTCAAAACATCAATTACCTTACAAGAAGCCCTCTGTTGTGCATTAGTAACATTTTGAGGAGTTGACTCTGGTTCATGACAGCTGTCAAGAGAAAGGTCATCTTCCAACATGCTCACTCCCATATCTTGTAAAATTTCAACTGCATGAGCTGTACTAACATCCCATATAACAGGTTGGTTAATACACAGAGATTTCCTTGACTGTTGGTCTGTTGTGTTACTACCTTTGTTGTCAGAGCAGTCCATCGGTAAATTGGACAAATCATCATTCTTCCGTTTCCTTTGCAAAGATATGTTTATGCATTACTAAATACATAATAAGCTATGTGAACAATGTGCCATTTCAATAAGCTCATGATTATTTATGATAATGACAAGTTACAACAAATTACTATTAACCTTGTTCACATGTTAAGATACTGTTGTTGTCTCACAACTTAGTAATGGAATAATTTATTACATTAAACATTACATTTTGTTCCAAGTTACAACTTACAATTTAGCATACTTTAGTTTTTAATACAAACTTCTTTAATGAAACAATGTGACTGCTTTACCATATTCTAGTTTAAGTATTTAAGTGAGCCTGATTTATCATTCAAATGTTAATACTTGGTAATAGTAGTAAAAATGGTGTAAGCGTTTTAAACTAGTAGGATTTTTAATTAAACTCCAAAAGGTTTTCTTAGCTAAAACCAGAAGTCAAATGCATATTTCTACCATTACTCTGTATTGAGAATTGTTGTAATCAGTGAAACTTAAATTTTAAACATAATAAATCCTGATAATTATTGATTTTCCATCAAATTTTTGCAGCTTAAGTAAAAAAAAATTAGACATATTCTATAAGTCATAGGATGTTAGAAAAAGTTGCTAATACTAAGAAATATCACAGCTAGAATCTTTTGTATTGTCCTGGTAGTCTTACCTTAAGCAAAATACATAAAACTTGATTTTAAAGTACTTTTACTTTTCAAAGCAAATATCTTACTATTTCTCAGGACTCCAATCACAACAAAAACAAACACGTTTCCTTTACTGCAGTTTCTATTCAAATAAGGTTAACACTACCCGCAGTATTAATATTATTACTACTAGTATTATTTGTCAAAATGATATATTAATCATGATACAAAGCATTTAAAGTTTACACTTAAATCATACAAATAATTTTAAAATGCGTTTTTATAAATTACAGTACAATTTAGCTTCATTGTGAAACAAACACATATATATTCACACCTTCTTTGCTTTTCTCACGCCTCATGATAGCATTAGTAAATAGAAGATGCAAAACATCAACACTAGTAGCATTAACAGGCTAACCATTAACTTCGTAATATCAAATAACCATAGGTACAACGGAAATTTGAGTTGAGTGAGATTGTAACGATTTTAGTTCTAAGAGAGTTCCGAACTCTTTCACTGTAGACAATGCTTATTTCATTTTATATTACTACCGATACTAAATTTTATATAAAATAGAAAACACCTAATATTATATACACACCTTGGATGTTTCTTTTCGAAAGAGATATTAGTAGAATAAAAAGTTTTACTTTTTAACTTACGCGCCATTTCAACAACAGCGCACCCTAGTAATATACATGTCGAGTGACAAAAAATATTATTCATTGTTTACTTTTTTCTCCTTAGTTAATAGCATACAATTTTTCAACACAGAACTTTTTGTTGCACCTCATAAACATATACTTTTTGTACATTATAATATTAAAGATAATAATTAAAAAGTATGACACTACAGTGTATATTTTTCCGTAAAGTGTGATTTCATATTTACAAGTCACCATTTCTTGGAATAGTTTTCATTAGAAAAATGTATGCTAACAATTTCGATTTAATCAATCTATTCTTTTTTATCAAGGGCAGTATCACCCTCTTCACGGTGGGTGGGTTGGTGAGGGTTAGACAAAAAAAAAGTGAGTGAACTACATTTTATATCTATGCAATTGTGGGTGGGTATTCGTATTGTAGTATTTAGGAAGTGACCAGGTTTAACAGTAAGTACTTTTTCGTTTTGTGCGGGGGCTACAGGCTATAAAACCATTTTGGGGTGGCTTCATCCTCCAAAAGCCCCTTTGCTTTTTATGAATATAAATACACCACTCTTTTACCAAAGAAACTCTTATAGATATTTTTGAAAGTTATACATCATCTAGAGACAGCTCATGTGAAGTTTGGACGACTTTCATTAAACCTCTGCATTAAACTATTCTCTTGTGCATTTTAACTACTTACTAAGGGCTTAGAGAACTAAGGTATGTTTTATTATTAAGTACACATCTACACAATGGGCTATCCATGCTATACACACAACAGGTATCGAAACCAGACTTTTAGCGTAATAAATTCTCAGAGTTACCGCTCAGCCACTTGAGAGGACAGGGAAAGTAATAGAAATAAATGCAGATGATTAATGAGCACCAACAAGAGTCAACGAAACATTACTACTTACAGACAACCAATATGTAAAAAAAAGGACTAATTAAGAAGTAAGAACTACTGTTTACCTTCATTTCATCCCTAATCTTAGTGAAAAGCTAAAATGTACAGCCAAAATGTTTAACGATAAGATCCTGTAGAACTCTTAAATCAATTTATTACACACGAAACTGAAACCATCCAAAGAAAAATAATATAAAGAAATAACAACAATTACACTATTTACGAGACTGATGTTCGAGCACCAAGGCATATGTTGTACAAACACATAAACATTTTGAAGCTAAACTTGAAAACAGCTCTAAATTGTTAGGAACACAAGAAAAATAAATTACTCAACATCCTTTGGAAACAGACATATTATCTACTCAGATAATTATAAATTTCTAGATAGTGACAGGTTATGAAACCCTCTTTAAAAAATATAGAGAGAGAAACATTTTACATCAACATTGCGAAAACTGGCATTATCAGAAGAAATACGGGCTTGGAAAGAAGTAATATTTGGCTAGTTGAATATTAAGTGACAATCTCAGGTGGTTTATGCCTATTGGGGGGCCAGCTTTCTTGCGGGGGTAGGAAAGAGTTCTTTTAGTGATATTACTAGTCATTTTCTGGCTGTACCTTTCCGAATAAGATTAACTAACCTTCAAATCCAAATAAATTTTTGACGACTCTCTGACATTTAGGCTAATTCTGTAAGCTGTTACATGGAGAAGATTGTAAGAACTGGATCTCTCTCATACCATACAAACAATCCATGTCGTAGCTGATATATATATCTAAAAACTTCACACCAGTAAGTGTAGAATGTGCCTTCATTCGTGTATTTTTTCTAAATTTCCCTGTAGCTAATTTTATCAAAGTTAACTGGTTGTTGCAATGTCGTAAACATGTTCTCATTCTTTTAAACAGGCAAAGGTTGCATGCTGCAACTAAAATATAAAACTGGTATATACGCGTTTCTCTATAAACCCTCTAATAAGGTTACCGCAAAATGTGATACAGAAACCTGTACCGCCTGGCTTGGGATGGTTTACAAATGTATTTCGACTAGTAATCAAAATATCTAGCTTTTGGATTGTGGGATACCACAACCAGGCTTCGTTCTGACTATAAAAATAAGGATATTTCTATGATTCTCTCTATTGTTTATCGGGTGTCGTTAAATCCTGCTGTTATGTCTCCATTCGTTAATTAACTTTCCGTAACTTCGTTCCGACGAAACTTTAGCGACACAAATCCTTACTTAATAAAACTGGTTTATTATTTCTGAATACAACTTTACGATACACTTATTTTCAACAATCACGCTAAAACAAACGCTATATCAACGAACGTCAACAATACTTCTGACTGCAGTTCAATTACTCACTATCTACACACACATTATTGTCACGTTGTCACCCTCTTTTATATACCAGACTACCCTATATCTAGTAAATGCTAGAGCATTCGCCAAAGTACAGGATAGTTCTAGAAAGTAGAGGGCGTGAGAATAGTCACGTGATCTCGATGACGCAACACTGCCCTCGATCCTAGCAGCCAAACAGTAATCACACAAATCGAAAGCTAACCAATAAGTTATTTCTACATACACACAGTGTTGTGAATAAAGATTGTTTTTATTTGTTCACTTGTGTTTACTTGATTTTTCTTTGGCGTTTAAGTTTGATTTATCTTTGTTTAACAGTTCTGAACCCACATTTTGCACATACCTTAAACTTATCTGTCGGATATTAGGATACCTGAATACCACACCTACACAAATGTATAACTTAAATTTGGGTAAGAGAAGTCAGTCAAAACTTTATCACTCCTTGGTTTTTTTTCGTACATTCTGTTCTGAAATTCTACTCACCAGTTCTTTTCAAAAGTGCAGATCCTGTATCAGAGAAAGAATTTTACAGTTGATGTTTGCTGCTCAATTTGATTTCTTATCAGTAAATTCATCTTCTAAAGCTTTTATGTATTATATATTAAATATGTAAATAAGGTTCAACATAAAACTTTGTAAATGAGTGTAAAAGTTAGCGTTTTCTACTGAAATAAAGCAGTAAAAGTAATCTTTAGTTTGAGCATTCCAATTTTTATTAATTATCTCAATCTATTTATTTTAACATTTCTCACACTTCTGAATAAATGAAAGACAATTTAATGGCTACTTTGTTCAATTATTCAGTCGGTACAACAGCAAACCCTCTAGAGGTGTTTTGTGATACCTTAGATCAGTATTCTTTAGTGGTCAATCCATGACCTCTTTAGTTTATTGTTCAAGATAATGCTGGGCTTTGTTCCACGTCATGAAAAAAATCTGGTACGATTGTGTCCTAGAAGGTTGTAGAGTTGGCTCCATTGCCAATATATTGTCGACAGGTAAATCTGCTCATAGATGTATACATGTATATTTATACGTAGTGATTTCCTCCACATACACAAAATATAATTTAACTACCACCAAAGCTGTTATATTTAAAGATGTTGCACTGAGCATACTGTCCACCCCTGGTTCTCAAACCCGTTGATCATTGGTGTATAGATAAAACCTTGAATCTGGCATTGCTGATAATTCTCGGGACCTTGGAAATAGTCTGAAGAAACTCTGCATTGGTAGAACAGTTCTTTTTTATCTTGTACTGTGCTTATGAAATCTGTTTCTGACCAATTAGTCACTAAAAATTAATATAGGTGCTATCCTGAAATCCATAATGAATCCACGAGCATTGGAATGACAAATCATAATACTACGTTGTATACATGGATCTCCTAAACTTTGGAGATAGATGATTTAAAAAATGAAGTACTTTATTCATCTATATAAACTGTTCAATGTTCTCAAATGAAACATATAATGATCAAATATAAGATAATGTATTGTCACCATAAGCATAGGCACCAGCTGCATTATTGCTGCGAGTGCTGCTACACCAAGCATCCCTAACTATTTGGAAAAGTTGGCACTAATAATCATGTCTAGCATATTTAATTCTTAAAAATTTACGAGTGAAAGCAAAGAAGAATATGTTATAATATGTCTACTATACTACATCTCCCATATCCAGTGCCAACGAGGCCTTTCGCCCAATGCTGTTGTTATTTTGTTATTAAGCACAAAGTTACACAAAGGGCTATCTGTGCTCTGACCACCACAGATATCGAAACCCCGGTTTCTTGTGGTATAAGTCCGCAGACATACCACTGTGCCACTTGAGGGCTCGCTCAATGCAAGGGCTCATCATATTAGCTGGAATATGATAGACATAATAGTGGTATACATACTATTTATATTGTTACGACAGCGGAAGTCACGAGATTCTGGGAGCATGCACACTGGAGTTTCTAGAAGGATCATGAATTATCGAGGAACTCCGCGAATGTCCTAGTGTTTGCCAGGCGCCTTCTTTT